GGACAGACTGAGGCAGCAAGTGAGGATTAGCTTGAAAGTTCGGAATAAAAGCGAGAGTGAGGAATTCTAGAAGTCTCCTCCTTTCACTCTAACTATGTTTAGGCCAGAAGTCTGCATTAAAACGCAGAACTGACAAAGGTGTGGTTGGGTGTTTACATGTAAAAGTAACTTATAGCTACTATAGAAAGATTTTTTTTAAAGAAATTAATTATTTTATTCACCAAGGACACTTTAACTTGATCAAAACTGACAGTAAAGGCATTTATAATGTTACAAAATATTTCTATATCAAATAAATGCTAATCTTTTGAAATTTCTATTTATTAAAGAATCCTAAATTCATTTCCACAAAAAATACTGTTTTCAGCATTGATAATAATAAGAAACATTTCTTGAGCAGCAAATCAGCATATTAGAATGATTTCTGAAGGATCATGTAAAACTGAAGAGTGGAGTAATTTGCTATCACCGACTTTAAAAAAAAAAATTTAAAATAGAATCTTAAAAATTATTTTTTTAAATTTTAATTGTTTGAAAATGTCATAATATTATTGCATTTTTTATCAAATAAATGCAGTCTTGGTGAGCATAGATAGACAGACATATAAAAACATCTTGCTATAATTGTAACAATAATTGTTTTACTTGACTGATGTATGGTAAGCATGATCAATTATGCTGACACAAAGGCTAGTCACTAAAATGAAATTAACTTTGCTTTAAAGGAGAACTCCGGCGCAAAATTAACCTTTGGTCTAATTACACATTGTTACCTAGTCAACCGTTATCTGAGATTTGTTTTCATGATTATCGAATGTAAATAGTTTTATCTCTAAAAACAGTTTAGCCTATAAAGCTAGTATAACGCTAGTATATTGGGCATAGATCAATGACAAATAAAAATCGCTTGTTAATACCACTAACAAGGCTCAAAATAGCCCCACACTAACACGGTAGCATAATGAGGGTCCCTACCTTCAAACCGAAGCATTGAGAACTTTGTCAGTGTCCAGACAGTTTAATAAGAAGATATTTTAAACATAGTCAACTTCGCGTATACAGGCAGAAGCCATCTTTGAAAAAGAGCCTCTACCAGTTGATCTACGAACGCCGATTCAAGCCTGCTGTTCACACTCACCTTATCACAACTTATAGCTCATTCACATCTCACCAGCGCACTTGGATCGGCGATTTTATTTGTCATTGATCTATGCCCAATATACTAGCGTTATACTAGCTTTATAGGCTAAACTGTTTTTAGAGATAAAACTATTTACAATCGATAATCATGAAAACAAATCTCAGATAACGGTTGACTAGGTAACAATGTGTAATTAGACCAAAGGTTCATTTTGCGCCGGAGTTCTCCTTTAACATTTCAAAGATCCATATACCTTGCATATGCTGCATGTATTGTGAGGAAATAAAATAAATTCGTGACAGCTGCCAAGAATGAGGTTACTTTTTCACGTTTGTGACTAACATTATGATTTCTGTGGTTTGGCATGATTATTTTAATGGAAGTAATTTGCAAAATTACTTAAAATATTCTTTGGGAAAATTAGGAATTACTTAGGATGTTTTGTCTTAATGTAAATAAGGAGATTAAAGGAATAAACGAGTTGAAGTGCTCTAAAAATCGTCTGATAAACTACCATACCAAAGAAAACCTTTTTGCTTTAACTTGAACATGAAAGCTTTAACATGAAAATGCTCCTAACATCAACTATTAATATTTTGAATATATACGAGCAAATAAGCATTTGAAAATGCTAATGTCTTAAAATGAATCCTAAAAATTTCCCAAACACAGCTAAGATTAAAAAAAAATGCTTACAGGAAAACCATGTTTGAATAATTTCCACTCCAACTTACACTCAAGCTTGTCCTCTGGCGTCCCCCTCTCCAGCAGAGACAAGTAGCACACAATGTCTTTAAGGAAGACCACTTGGGGCGATGGAGAGCCATTTTGTGGAGAAGGACTCCTCCGGAGAGATGTACGATTCTCAGATTGATTACGCTCTGGAAGGATGCCAATTATATGTCTATTAGTAATGACACCAGTTATCACACCAAAATATGTGTGCGCGAGCATCTTGTTTTACAAGTAGTGCAAGTTTTGACGAACATCTGTCAACAAAACATGATTCTGATCAGACAATATTGCTTCATAAGCAATTCCCTATGTGTAAAAAAGTGTGGCAAAGATCAATGTTGTTCACTTGTACAGGACTCTGACCTAGGGAAAGGCGCGGGGAGTTTGTGGTCTTGGAGAGAGCCAAAGCATTGCTGCTGCTGCTGCTGCTGCCCGCTGGGGGTCTGGGCTGCATGCTGGGTGACCGGTGGGGGCCTCTGGGTGTGTGGCCCCCTGTGCCTGATCGCTGTGAGGAGGAGCGGGATGAGCAGGGAGACGTGGTGGCCCCTGAGCCTGGAGTCATCCCTACAGAGTTCTCTGGTGTATGTCGGCTCATAGCACTCAAAATACTCTTTCCATTCATACCTACGAGAAAAAAAAAGTGGTACAGGAAAAAAAAAAGAGAGGAGAATGAAGGTTATAATCTGAAATGAGAAAGGAAGCAACAGAGCGTAATACAAAAGAAAAGGATAATGACATAGCGTCTCATTCAATGAATGTGAGTACACACATATTTATGTGTAAAACCTGTGCATGAACACAACAGAAATCATGACTCATCAAGAAGTTAGTATTTTTTTATTTATTGAAACTTTTGACACTGACAGGGTTTAAGCATAGTTTGCGCATCTGACTTAATACAAATTGCACAGGTGGCTATTCATTTGAATTCTCTACAAAATACACATCAACATATATTATTACCAAATAGATTATCCATTATTACACATACACACAAAAAATTTTTTATAATAAAACTAAAATAATAATAATTGCCACACAAAAGGGGAGAAAGAGGGGGAAAAAATATAGAATAAGCAAACCAATGACATCACCATTGGGTATTTATTCAGTCCTTCTACACTAGGTTCCATATTCCCAGCGCTAGCAAATGTGTCTCTCCCGCCCCAAGATAAGTGAAGAAGGGGTCCCATATTTTATAGAATTTAAAAGGTTTGTCTTTTAATGCTGTTGAAAAAGCTTCATATTGAATAAGGCCTTTGGCCGTGTTAACCCACTGTGCTATTGAAGGGGCTTGGTCTATAATCCAGCATACAAGTATGCATTTGCGGGCACAGTGGAGTAAGATTTGAAGAAGGTGGGTCCTTTGGAATTTGGACGGGAGTTCCTGGCTCATGCCAAGCAAACATGTCTTTGGTGCTAATTGTAATGAGCAGCGAAATATGTTCTCAAGTTCCCTTAGGACGCCCGTCCACAATTGTTGTATTTTTGAGCAGCTCCAGAAACAGTGGATGAGGGTTCCTTCTATTGAAATTTATTACAGAGGTTGGAGAGTTTGGGGTTTACTTTATGTCTTTAGGCTGGAGTCACATGCAAACGATGAACTATTTTAAATTCCGTTTCCCAAGCTGAGTTGTTTGCAAGATAGGAGGGCAAATACAAATAGCAGGAGATTATATTTTTTTCTATGCATGGCACTTTATGTATTTTAGTTTTGTATACTTTTGTATTTAAAAAAACATCTCACATACAGCTTCCCAATCAGTTGTCTGAATTTCTTCCCCAAAGTCCTTTTGCCATAACATTCTAGTTTTATCTGAGCCTGTATTTGCCCTTATCAAAATGCTATGTTTAAAGTAAGTTTATTTAATTGTTCCTCCAATGGGGATGTGCAGAGGCCACTTGAATAGACACTGAGATTTTTTTTGCTATGAAGCTGTGTACCTGGTGGTATACCAAAAACAGCTTCTTATTGAGATCATATTTTGCAGTGAAAGTTAGCATTTTTTAAGTTTACACAAGACTTCATTTATTTGATGAAAAATACAGTAAAAACTGTAATATTCTGCAGTATTATTAATAAGAAACATTTCTTATTATTAACATTATTATGTTAATCATTTATTATTATGTTATTATTGAAAACAGATGTGCTGCTTAATATTTTTGTGGAAACTATGATAATTTTTTTCAGGATTCTTTTATGAATTTAAAGCATTTATTTTTTAAAATATTTTACATAACATTTTTGGTAGATATGTTAAAAATAAACTTACATACATTATACAATGTACATATTAACTTTGTACTGACTTTAGAGTTCTGGAAGAATGTTTTATAGAGTGATGAGACCAAACTGGAACTTTTTGGACCCATGGATCAGCAGTGTGTCTGGTGCAAAATAGGCTTCTCTACCTAGCTATTTAGGCCTACCATATTGAAAGGCCTACTCTTTATTCTGGACATGCCTGTAAAACATCAGCTGGTCGGGATTTCTAAAATGTCTGGGCACACATGAACAGAATCCGCTGATAACAGACACTTTTACACGGAAGCGTGTCAAATTATCCACTATTAACCACATTTTATGCCATGCATTGTAGATCCGTGTGGCGAGCAGGACGAGGCCGAGTGACGTGAGAGCGGCGCGAGGCCGGTGGCGTGAGTGGTAATGAGCGACACCTGTGAGACGCACCGGTCTCGCATCACTCACGGAGGAGCGACGACGGTGAAGATCGAGAGAGGAACAGGCCTTATTTTATGTTGTGTTATGTTTCTGTGGCCAGCAGTCGTCCGTGAGGGGCTGCTGGTTTTACTTTCATTTTTGTATTTATTTTATTATTAAAATCATTGAACGTTCGCCGGTTCCTGCCTCCTTCTTCCCATAACAACGAACCCCGTTACAATCCGTATAAGCTAACTGGATTTTTAATGTATCTTCCAAAAACAATGTTGACAGCAACAAACTTTTCCATAAAGAGGTGACATTTCTGCTATAAATTGATTTCCTGGGGCATTTTTCGAAACCTTATTAAATAGTAGGCTATATGCGTCATAATGTAGCCTATAAGTTCTTAAGTTTAACTGGTCAATCTAGTTAATAAGGCACTACTACAGGGCTGTTACCAGGCAAATAAAATCAGTTTCAACAAAATCTTCGCACTGCAGATGTGGGACGTGCAGACGCTGACTCTGAATGGCATTAGATATTATTAAAACAGACTGTTAATGCAGAGGAGCCATGGGTGCATTACACTGCAATTACAATAGCATAAATAATGTTATGAGATTAATTTTTGAATTTTGAATATTGAAATATGAAATGATAGAATCGATGAAATTATACGTTTAAATATGAAACTAAAACAGCCAGTAGGTGGTGTCAAGCCACCGTCTTAACGAGTGAGTTCAATCATTAATTCAGACGATCAAATAGAGGAGACACAATAGAGGAGAAGGTTAAACGTTCAGTTCAGCCTTCGATTTTTCATTAGAAGTGTTAAAAGTTGTAAAGAGTACCAAATTGAACAAAACAATATAACTGCAAAATTTGAATTTAAGAATATCTAACGGTATTCTCGGTATCGCAAAATCCATATCATGGTACAACATAATACCGGTGGTCACGTTCATAGCGCCCACCCCTAGCAGAGTCTGCAAAGCGTTACAAGAGACGGCGTTAAATTAGCTCATGTCTCAAAGCACATAACATTAAAATAATCATGAACGTAAAAACGTACAGAGCTCTTACTTGTACTACCTGACTGCTGCAGATTCATTTCAGCATTGATAGTGTTGATAAAAAAAATTCAAAAATCCCAGTCTGAGGACGTGAACAGCTCCAGTTAAATGTCACGGGTTGCCTTCTCTAAATTACGGTTACGACAGGGCGTGCACACAGCATAAGCTTGTTGTTTTGATTCAGGAGGAACTGTAAAGGGCGGCTGCTGTTTGTGATGCTCGGTGACTGTCTGTCTACAACCCTACATAGCCTTAAAGGGGACCTATTATGCAAAATTCACTTTTGTAAGGTGTTTGGACGTAAATGTGTGTTGGCAGTATGTGTACACAACCACCCTACAGTGATAAAAATCCACTCACTCCTTTCTTTTAAATCCCCATAAATCATAAGCAGTGTCTCCCAACGACTTGTTTTCAGAATGCGGCTTTAGTGACGTCACTAAAGCCACAGGCCCCGCCCACGAGTGTTGACAGACATTGCCGTTTTAACTTAGACCCGCCCTGATCGAGTTCACAGCAAGTTGTACACATCCACCATTGCTGCACTAATGAATGTCTCCCAAGCGTTGAAGGTGTTGTGGCTGGATGTATTCATTCACATAGCTCTCTCTATTTACTCCTGAAATCTGAGCCAACCGCTGAAGACGAGGTGGGTTCATTTTGTCTTTGAAAAATGCTCCCTCAACTCTACCGAAATTTGTTTATGTACCTACGCACTTCTAATACTGTGTTTACTCAGCTCTTACAGTGATTTTCTGGAGTAAAACTGACGCTTATTCTTTTGTGTGACATACAATAAACGTTATTAAACTCATCAGTATATTTTGTGTCATCATTCAGACATGGTCCTACAGCAGGCTTGTATTAATAGTGGCTACAATCAATGACACATAGATTATAACCGTAATTAAACTAATCTATACCTGTTCCAACTCCATACATCATATATTCTCTGACTCTGTAGGCATTATTGTCCGAGTCGAAATGAACACCGTTACTGTGAGTTTCTGTTTTGATTATCATCTTTCCGTGAGTTGAGATTGTTCACTGAGCGCGAGCTGGTTAGGCTCCGCCCCCTGTGCTGTGAACCAGCAGCTTATTAGCATTTAAAGGAGACGCACTAAAACGGTGCGTTTTTCTCAGGCCCAAAAAGTGACGATTTAAACATGCTGTAAAAAATGATCTGTGGGGTATTTTGAGCTAAAACTTCACATACACACTCTGGGGACATCAGAGACTTATTTTACTTCTTGTGGACAGTGGCATAATAGGTCCCCTTTAAGGAACGCGCGGATGACGTGTGATGTCTGTGTGAGCAGGTTGCCGGAGGTATGGAAATACACGTTGACAGGCAGGTAGGACAATGTATCATTGCATTCGAACCTTCGAAGCATTATATTTTTTACCACTTCTGTTATTGATTGCTATCAGGATGTGAAGAGAGTTTCAACCAGTATAACTAAAGGTGTTTATAATTTTTTTTTTTTTTAAATACCCTACCTTTAACGTTTGTTGACTGAGTTGCATGAAGGGCAAAGGGACCAACTGAAATCACTGATTGTACTGTCTTTGCCAGTCCAGAGAAATCATGGCACTAGATGGCACTGTTGGCTGTCAAACTATTCATACAGTCAACCGATATTTGCCTTAATCCCCTCTGGTCAATGGTGATAGTAGAGGTATTCAGACACAAGAGCACCAGCATTTTTCCATTATAGTGGACTTTTACATTAGAAGTCAAATCTGTTAATTTGTCTAGCCTTCACAGAGAGCAGGTCTCCCGCCAAGAGCAGGATTCCAACATAACACGGAAGCAATTGCTCACCAGATTTGTGTGGAACCTTCAGGCGTCTACCAGTTCATTATTTTAGTCATGCAGGTTG